TTGATCTCCAACACAGAAGAAACGGAGTGAGGAGGGAAAGTGGGAAGGAATGGACAGGAGCAAGAGCAAGCTTTTGCAATCTAAGAAAGTACATACAGTAGTGACAAGACTGGATCCTGGTTGTCGTCTTGTGTTAAGTAGAAGTGCTTGGAACAAGATGCACAACCGTTTTCAATCCTGTTGTCTTACAGTAAGAGCCAACAGACCGAACTACACCCAGTAATAGCAGCCTTCACGTTTTCGTTAAACCTTACATTAGGAAGGCGTTACATCTTTTTCTAACTTCACTTTACTTAACCCATAACTACCCCACAAGTATTGTTAATTCAAGTCTGTCCAGACAGCAGCTTGGAGGTCACTTTAAAAAATGATTTGGCACTGGGCATGGTGGCTCATGCCTGTAATCTGTAATCCCAGCACTTGGGAGGCAGAAACAGGCGGATTTCTGTGAGTTTGAGGCCAGCCTGGTCTACAAAGCAAGTCCAGGACAGCCAAGGTTACACAGAGAAACCCTGTCTTGAAAAAAAACAAAACCCAAAACAACAACAACAAAAATTGAGGCTGGAAAGATCTCAGTGGTTACAACACTGGCTTCTCTTTGCAGAGGTCCCGAGTTCAATTCCCAGCACCCACATGGTGACTCAGAACCATCTATAAAGCTGGGGATGGTGGCGCATGCCTGTGATCCTAGCACTCAGGAGGCAGAGGCAAGCGGAATTCTGAGGAAAGTCTCTATAGAGTGAGTCCAGGACAGCTGGGGCTCTGTTACACAGAGAAACCCTGTTACCAAAACCAAATAAACAAGCAAACAACAACAAAGATTTGGCTTTTTCTGGTGAAAAGATGTGCGGTTTCAAAAATGACCTCCCTTTTAGAAGCTTTTTCTAAATGGTACCCTTACAAGATGGTTGAGCAGGTAAAGGCAGTGGCAGCCACACCTGCTGACTTGAGGGTGGAGAGAACCACCTCATGAAAGCTGTCCTCCGACCTCCAAACACGAGTGCTTCCACACACAGTAAATAAGTGTAACGTTAAAAAAAAAAACGTACATAGCTACTATCTCGCTTATCAGCCATGTGCAGTCAACTTAACAATCATAAAATGAAAGTTTTAGGTTGTCAATGAGATTAAAGACCTCCAAGTCTAGGTCACAACTTCTTCCGCTAGAGGGCAGCATTTCCTAAAACAAACACTAAGAATTCCCTGCCAGTGGGTTTTAACACTGGCTATCCACAGTGAGCTGGACTGGCCTCTGCTGCCTCCAGGCACCTGCGGGAAGTGTAAAATACACAGATTTCTAGACTCTGCCCTGCATATACTGAATCAGTCAGGAAGGAAGCACGAAAGATATTGGAAATAGGTTTCTTAGAAGCTCTTCAAGAAAAACAAGATTTGGCTAACTCACTTTCTCTCACCTCCCCAGACATACTTTAGTCTTCTTGCAGTCTTTGCTGAATCTAACGTGTGTATGTGTGTGGGGGGGGCTACTTTGCATTAACACTATAACCTTGACCTTTACTTTTTTATGTTTACTTGTGTGTGCATGTATTTGTGTGGGCATTCCTGTCACAGTGTGCCTGTGGAGGTCAGAGGACAACTTTTGGGAGTCCGTTTTTTCTTCACACCATGCAGATGCTGGGAATTGAGCTCAGGCGACAAGGCTTGACAGCAAGCAAGGCCAGTTCATCCTGGCCTTTTAAAACGGGTTATTTAATACGACTTCATGAAGATGGTTTCCTGTCTATTTTCAGGACTTTATATGGGCAGGTCTATTTCAGAAAAGCCCTAAAATATTTCAGTTTTTGTATTTAAGCAGTGATGCCAGCTTTTGCTTTTTTTTTTTCTTTTCTTTTCTTTTCTTTTTGAGACAGGGTTTCTCTGTCACAGGCATGCACCACCATGCCCAGCTAACTAGCTTTTGCTTTACCATAAGTAAAACATTGTTTCAGGGGAGCTGGAGAGATGGCTCAGAGGTTAAGAGCGCCATCTGCTCTTCCAGAGGACCCAGTTATGATTTCCAGCACCCACATGGCAGCTAACAACTGTCTATAACTCCAGTTCCAGGAGATCTGGCATCCTCACATAGACACACATGCAGCAAAACACCAATGCACATAAAAATAAGTAAATCTCTTTTTAGTTTTTATTTTTTGGTGTTTCGAGATAGCGTTTCTCTGTGTAGCCTTGGCTGTCCTGGAACTCACTCTGTAGGCTGGCCTGGAACTCATGAGATCCACCTGCCTCTGCCTCCCAAGTGCTGGAATTAAAGGTCTGTGTCACAACTGCCCAGCTTAAATAAATCTTTTTAAAAGCCTTATTTGAAGAAGAAGAAGACGAGGAAGAAGAGGAGAAGGAAGAAAAGGAAAAGGAAGAAGAGGAAGAAGATGATAATGAAGAAGAAGAAAGTTGTTTCGGGCTACATGTGACTGTGGAGCAAGATTATGGCAACTCAACCATGAATAAAAAGCACCAGCATTTGTCAGCTGAATTGCCAATCAAGGGGAAAAGTGCATAAGCTTGAAGGCTGATCAAGCCTGAAACAACCTGGTGGTAGAGAGGAAATTTCAAGAACTTATAGCAGGGCAATTAAAGCCAAAGGATTTCATCAACTTACTACAAGATAAATATTCCTACCTGGCTCATGGTCCTTGGATGGTTTCTGTTTGTTTTGGAATCTTAAAAAAACTGATTTATGAGTCAGATTGAGGTTGCCCTTCCTTTTGTGCTCCATCTGTTACCTTTACAGGGTCACTGTGACATTTTGAATTGTCAAAGAGTTCCAGCACAGCAAGTTCCCCTCTTAGATCTTTTCCCCTTTGTATTTTCATGTAGCCCAGGCTGGCCTCAGACTCTCTATGTAGTTGAAGTTGGCCTTGAACTACTAGGCCTCTTGCCTCTCCCTCCTAAATGGTGGTCTGACAGTTCTGTTCCATCCTCAGCTCCTCCCCTAGATTTATATGTTGGAGGAAATACACAGGAATATGAAAGCAAGTTTTTATTTTTTAATGTATGTGTGTGTGTGTGTGTGTAAGAACACAGATGCCCACAGAGACTAGGCATGCTAGATGCCCCTGGCACCCTCAATGTGAGTGATGGGAACTGAACTTGGATCCTCTGGGAAAGCAGAAGTGAGCATGACTGCTAAACCATCTCTCCAGCCCCAAGGCAGTTTTTTTAAATCAAACTTTCAAAAAAACTTCAAAGTTTCTTACTGTGTGATATGTGAGTATGTGCATGTAGAGGTCAGAGGACAACTTCCAGGAGGTTCTTCTCCCCTTTCACTAATAGTGGGGACCGAACTCAGGTCATCGAGCTTGTGCCCCAAGCCTTTCCCTCTGCTGAGTGTCACCTTGCTGTCTCCAAGGGCCTTTATTTGAAAACCCAAGCATATGGTCTTACAGGTCCTGTTGTCTGATCAATCGCTGGAGTGTTTTGTTTTGTTTTACTTTTTCCTGGTTCAGGGCTCTAGGCGCTGCGTGGCCATGTGGGCCGCCATGCTCAGGAGTGCTGTAGTCCTCCACATTCTGCCAATCCCAAACTTATTTGCATTGAGACATGTGAATGATGCTTCAAATTGTGTCTGCTGTTTTCAGCATTTCTGAATTTCCCCCTTCCCAGGCTGGTGCTGGATTCCAGTGCATGATGGGAGTTGCCCCGGATTGGGGATGGAGGTGGGAATAGGAACTCTTGATACGGGATTTGGTCTTCCTAGGCACAGTTCTGTTATGGTCAAATAGAGTTGACTCAAAGCGCACACAGACTGGACACTTAGGGCACCCGCGCCCACACCTCTATACACTATACTATGCTATTTTTTCTCCGTAGGGTTACTTTTTCATTTCAAAACACCTGAAAGTTACTGCAGGCTGTCAAAGGATTAAGCCAGAATGAACATCAGAGAATTTGCCCCCCCCCCCCCCATTTCCCTCGCTCCATGGCCTCATGTAACCTAGGCTGGCCTCAAACTCACTAGGTGGCCAAGGATTATTTTGAAATGCTGCTCCTTCTGCCTCCATCTCCAGGGATTACAGGTGTGGGCCAACACAGCCAGTTTTTGGAGTGCTGGAGATGCAGCCCGGTGCCTCTTGTAATGGCTCTGTCAACAGAGCTACAAGCCGCAGCAACTCCTGCTAGAATTAGAACTCAGCTACTTTGTCCTTGTCCACCGAATGCTAGTGTAGTCTTTCCTGTGTAAACAAGTTTCCCTCCCTCTTCCAGCATCAGTGGAGGGCAGCTTGGGACCCAGCGACCAATAACCCACAACCTTGCCTCAGCCCACCCTCTCCCTCCAAGGAGGTGTGACACATGTCATGTCAAGCTTCACCAGGCCGCATCCACAAAGGTCACGTAAACACGTATGACACAAGGAGCCCACATGATTTCCTTCTTAGAATTTTTGGTGAATGACTTGGCTGCGGTTCATCCCGAGGGGAAGGATGGCTGTTGGACACGATTTGTGGGGAATTCCTGAGGGCAAGGGAAGAAAGGGGCCTTCAGGGCTGGGATGAGGCACAGCTGGAAGACCCTCCGTAATGAACTCAGAGGCAGCGGCTCAGGCCCGAATTCCCGCCAGCTGCTGAAACCCTTGCTCCGGAGGTCGCCTAGGCAACCCTAGTAAGTGGTTGCTGGCAGCCGGGAGACTGGAGAGCTTTTGGGCATCCCCTTTTTTCCAGACCAAGCCTGGCGCCACGGGTCCTTCGTCGGGCGAGTGGGGCTTCTTGTGGGGTGGCAGATGTCATTTTTCCTTGGCCTGCGGACAAGTTTCTCCATTCAAAAGCACAGCTCCCACAAACACCGAGAGCTTCTAATGCCCAAGGACAGTAGGCTGCTAGAAGCCAGCCCCTCCTCCGCCTCGCCCTAACCCCGCCCTCCAGCGTTGGCCACGCCCCGTAACCAGCGTAGGCCCCTCCCCACCAGACGGTGACTCCGCCTTCCACAGCCCCCCGCCTCCGGGACCGCCCTTTGGCCCGCCCCGACCGGAAGAAGCCGGGGCACAAGGCACTTATAGGGCTGGGAATGGGGGTGTTGCCGCCGCCCAGCCAGCTCCGTGTCCACCGGTCCCCTGTCGGTGCCGCGCTGTCGTCGCGGCGCCCCCGTCCAGCCCTCCGTCCGCGCCGCCCCCAGACCCGGCCGGCGGGGCCCGGAGCCAGGGCCACGTCCCCGCCATGCCGGCCCAGTGGCTGTTGCTCCTGCTGACGCTGCTGCTATCGCCGCCCGGCCCCGGGGTGAGTAACCGGGGAGTGCGGCGCGGGGACAGGCCGGCTCGCGGCGCCGGGGCTGGCGTCCGAGCCGGGCCGCGGCGGCGGGAGGCCGGGCGCCGCAGCCGAGGCAGC